GCGGACTACAAAGAACCTCCCGATTCCAAGGGACGATTTGGGAAAGAATGAAACTGGGGCACCAGCGGGAACCGGGGACAGACAGAACGCGTAGTGGCCACAAGGCATGATTTGGAGGACGATGTAAAGAGACGACGTACTGTAGAGTAGGTAGCCTTGGCTCACGGCCCTCCACGCCATATACCCTTCGGGAGGTCTGCGGTAAGGGCTCTAGCCCGGCCGCCACGGCGTTAAATACAACAACAACAACAACAACAACAACAACATCCCTTGCTTCAGAAAGTGGCGTCATGCCAGCCTGTTTTGAAAGATTCACCTTGGCCCCATGCTCGATCAGATCGACAGCCATGTCTTCTTGACCAAGACGTATGGCCAGAATCAATGGCGTGTACATGTACCTGTTTCCTATCAGCTCAACATCTACTCCATTTTCAAGAAGCAGCTGGAGTAGTTTCCCATCGCGAGCGGACACACCATTGGCCAAAGGTGTCTCGCCTACATCGTTTAATACATTGAGAGCTGCCCCACTGTCAAGAAGAACTTTGGCAGTAGCATGGTGATCATGTTCCCACTTGTCCGACAAATGTGCAGCTCGGCCGCCGTTCACGGCCTCAGCATAAGCATTGTTCTCGATGGAGGTCGAACAATCTCTTCGTAGCTGAACGACGAAGCTAATCTGAATTCTGAATCTCCTTGCTGGGAGCCGCTGTTGACATTTGGTTCAGCCTCAATGACAAGTTTGTTGATGACTCCGTCGATTTTTTGGGATGATGCGTCGGGGCCACCCGGCGTGTTGAGGATGCTGAGGCTATGCGGGCCCCTTTCTTCAATGAGAAACTCCTCTGTCGTATTTTCGCTGCAAACGCAATGTAGTGCTGTCCATTGAGCATCACCTATAGCGTTGACATCTGCGCCATTCTCGATAAGAAACTTGGTAATTCTCTCATCGCCTGCTGAAGAAGCTGCGTGTAATGCCGTATCGTCATTGTCGCATCTGGAATTCACATTTGCTCCATTTTCGATGAGAAGCTTGACAATTGCTTCTGGCGGGTCAACCCTCCAGCCTGCCTTTGAGGCTTCGTAAAACGGTGAAGAGGAATTCTTGTCGCTCCTCGCGTTGGCAGTGGCGTTATACTCAAGGAGAATTTTTACTGTCGCTCCCGACCATGCACAACAGCAAGAAACAGAGGCGTACGCATACGTTTGCCCGCCTGGTCGATATTTGCCCCATTCCATATGAGAAACTTTACAACCGATTCATTACCTTGCTCGGCAGCCCGGTGCAGTGGGGTGTATCCACCATAGTCAGATTCATTCACATTATAGCCGGCTCGGAGGAGAAGCTTGACCATTTCGAGCCGGACATCTTGTGCAGCCCAAGACAATGGCGTTCTTTGCTTGAAGTCCGAAAAGTCCCTCCTGTGTGTCATGCCTTCCATAATATTCGTTCCAATGTAGATCACGGACGGCATCCCAGAGAGCGCGGCGACCGAGTTGTAGTTCCTATTGGCCAAAGCAGCAAACAATGGATAGTTGTATCGGTCCTCAGAATGGCGTTCACAATTTCTATTTGGTATCGTGCGAATGAGCCTTGAGCAGTCCATTTCTGAGAATATGTAGGCAAAGCTCGCTTGAGGTCCGTAGCGACGGATCCTATGCTTTTCATAGCGATTGTAGATGCGAATCTAGTCTTCGAGGGGAAACTGAGACAAGAATTGGCATTGAGAAATGCCAGCGGCTGCGGCGTCGGCATGAAAGAACAACTGCTGACTTGCGTATTCCATGAACGGAAACTGTTTTAGAGATTCCTCTGAAACTTAATCCGATGCCAAGCAGTATTTTATGTACTTGGTGCAGCAGGTTTTCAAATTTTCATGACTTGAGAGCTCCCAGTCAAAGCCTAGATCAGGCCACAGTTCCGCAAGCCCACCAGCTTTGAGAAGATAGTCTCTGACAGACTCATGTATGAAGTGGACCGTTGGCTGCGTAGATTTGGTGATTTCAGCCAACCCCTTAGAGAAACCAATTACGCATCTTGTGGCGCTATCTTCGTCTTCTGGGCTAGTGACGTTTGGAGGATCGGGGTCAACGAGGTCGTTCTGAGATAGACCAGACCAAAGTGCATGGTAAAACTCTCTTGGTTTTAAAGGTCGTTTGGCACAGAGAATCCAGATGACGCACAAAACCAAGTGTTCCGTTTTCTTGCTATCACGCGTTAGGATATTCTTGAACAGGGCGCCCAGGTCGCTCGGTATCTCAACAAGCCTTTTTTTCAAGGCCAGCCCACCCTGCGAATACTCTGTATTGAGGATGTCAGCAACTAGTATGATCCAGAGAAACACGCCCGCAGCCTTTTGGAGTATTTCTGTCTGCAGTTCTTCGACAAGAGAAGGATTGTTGAACCGGAGACGACTTTTGATATAATTTTCCATATCCTGCGTGTGACCTGGCTGATTTACGAGGGTCATTGTCGCCCCCCTTTGACGACAATGGATAGTGACGACTGGAAAAGCAAATTCGAAACGCAATCCCTTCTGTTGATGCGTCCTCTGCCAAGTCTTCAAAGTCTCGGACCATGTCTGTGACTTGTTGCTCGTCGCACTCGTCCAGAGCATCGATGAAGCAAGTCAACCGAAGCTGGCCAAGGCCGAGGATAGCTTCAGAGAACATACCCTTCAGGATTTCTAAGCTTGGACAAACCTCATACTCTTGTTGAGTTGAGTACAGTTCGTTAAGTACAGATCGGAGCTGAGGGTACCCTTGAAAAAGCTGCAATAGTAAAGAACGGTACATGCCTTCGATCGATCTTTCCAAATATTCGCCTCGGGCATTGAAGAAGAACGAATTGACAAGTGGAGACCAATGAGGGTCCTTTTGCATTTTCGACAAGGCAAATTTCATGATTGTTGGCTTTCCCGCGCCCGGCTTGCCGCGAATCCAAAGAAGCCCGTGGTGCAACTTTAGCTCGTCTTCGTTCAGCCATATTTGGAAATCTGGATGTTTGATGAACCATGTGCATGTCTTAACATGTGCTCTTTTGACAGTAGGTTTGCGGGAGTCCATTTGATCAAACTTGAGAGTTTGCAGAAGCTGCGCCTGTCTTTGATGCTGGTCCGGTAGGGCTCGAGCTACAAAGGGCTGTCAGTGATGCGATATGATTACCAAATGATATCAACTGACTACGTACGAAATTCAAGACGAGGACCAGCTCGTGTCTGATAGTCGGCCGATGGAAGTACGGAGAGTATCTCTCTGGCGCATGCTGCCGCCGCAGCTGCGGCGTATCTCTGCCAGATTTTGTTCTTGTGAGAATCCGCATAGTCGCAGATTCCGCGTATTGGTAGGCAAGGAACAACGTCCATGATTCCAGCAGCCTCCATTTCGAAACATACAACGTCAAGGGAACGAGCAGCAATGTCCCTCTCAGCGGAATTCTTCATAACTTGGTTGCCGGACGCAATCGCTCCGTAGTGGATGACAGGGTCGGTGTCCGATCGCGTGCGTCTAGTCATTCACTTGGTTTGATCGCAGTCGTCACACGTAGCTGCGGAGTCCGGGTGGTCGCAATTCGAGAGGAAAAGATGATCAGCGTCCGTGGGACGACCGTAATGTAGAAGCGTCTTGAACCTTTCTTTGAGAATCGAGGGAACTTGGCTGGGAACTCGATCGTGTTTCGCTCTCAAGACTGTGATGGCTTTGCCAAAGGAGTGGTGAAGAGTCCTAGCAATTGCTGTGCGTTGAATCTCGACACCTGCGACAATCTTTCCTAAGTCGTATTGCATCGTTCTCGTACCAACAATAACGTCACCCAGCCGAATATCCCTAGCACTGTTTGGGACGCCACCTCCAATGCCGACCATCAATGCTAGCCGAGTTGACGGAAAGGTACGGACTAAGTTGGTCACCACGTTCGCCGCAGTATTGGTGCCATATTGGTCCGCTGGCAGGCATGTGATGATAACGTTATGGCCTTCAATACTTCCCAGCGTGTAGGTGTTGGTGTCGATCGTGTAGGAGTTGCCATAGAAAGCGCCAGAAGTGAGAGTGTCGTGCTTCTCGTCTAGCATGGCTTCCGCAGCTACCAGCTCGGTAGACAACGCGCATATCCACGCGACTGTATAACGGTGATACTCTAGCGGGATATCATCTATTGACCATCGAGTCTCGCTATCCCAGTTGCCAAGAAGCGTTCGTTGCCGTTTGGGTGTGGCAGAGGAGTTACAGCCACCGTCCTCGGACCCTAGACGCTTGCCGTCCATCGCGAAGGATTGACTGAAAGTCCTCTTGTTGTCACCGGGAAGACATCAAGAATCATTTTTCGTCTTTGTTTCGCTAAGCATGTATTATATAGTTGAGGGAGCAATCGGAGAAGGCGGACGGAATGAGCAGATGTGAGGAGAAAAAATGAGCATGAGCGCGCATCAGGCTGTGAAGACCACAGCCACGCAGCAGTAGACAGTCTGTTGGCATCGTCCACAACCCAATACCTACCAATCAGCTATCCAGGCGCAGCAGGGGTAAGCCAGGGGTAAGAGTGAGATGCAGGTTAGCCTGCATGATCACCACTGGGTAAGGCAGACTCACCAACACGGAATGCCTTCTAGCCTGTAGCAGGAAATGGAAAAAAGAAAAGTTGTTTGAAGGTGAGAAGACGTGAGAATTGAACCACACAAGGAAGCGCCTTGGTTTCATAGTCTATCGCAATCCTCAATTCCTTGTTGGAGGATTCGGTCCACGGTGAGAGTATGCCGAGAAGGGAAGGTCATCAGCACAACCAACCAAACAGTTCCCCGCCACCATGCACGAAGAATCCTTTGTCCGAGATGTCGCGAATGATACTTGAAGGCTGACTTCCGCCGCCCTCTCATTTCACTGGTGCCAATTCTTCGTATTACCATAAAGATAGATACGGATGGTAGATATCGGCGGAGGCAACTAAGTCGATGGAGCATCGGAGCGCATCAACACCACAGCAATCGGTCTGGGAGAAGGCTCGAAGCGCCGAGGATGACGACAATGATGTGAATCTCGAAGTAGCGACCAACGGCCTTGAAGAAGCGTCGCAGTCCCTCCTCTCCCCCCACGACAACAAACCCTCTCGCCAAAACCATCACCAATCTCAGCTAAACCGACGTAACATCACAACGACCTACACCCGCCTCGCCCTTCTCCTCACTACAACCCTCCTCCTAGGTGCTGCTCTCTCAGCCCTGGTGACATCCATCGTCACAACCCGCCTCCGCACTCTCAACACCTCCCACAGAAACGACAATACCCTCGCCTCCCCGAGCGACCCCTCCTCCCGCCCCGTAAGCTACCTCCAAACCGCTCCCTGCGGCTCAACACCAGCCCAAGCCCGCGCCGCAGGCTGCGAATTCGACCTCATATCCTTCAACTGGCTCCCGCCGCAATGCCACGACGCCGCCCTCGCCGAGACCTTTGAAGCGGAACTCGTGGAAGCGGGACAACTCGCCTGGTTCAAAGACGCGAATCGAACGGCGCCGTCCTTGACGAGAGAACAGATTATGACGGGGGAGTATAGCGGCGTGTATGTCAGCTTGGGATACCATCTTCGGCATTGTACGGCCATGTGGAGGCGGATGCACCGCGCGCTGATGCAGAGCCGTGGTGAGGAAGGAGGAGGCGGTGGGCTGGAGAGGGTTGACAGTTATATTTGGAGTTATCATCATACTAGGCACTGCGAGGAGGTGCTGTTGACGAGGTTTGGTGAGATTAATGTGGGAGAGGTGTTTACGACGGAGGTGAGGATCAAGTATCCAGATTGCGGAGTCATCTTGGGGCCCATAAATTGAATACCAATGATGTAGATGTTGATACCGATGTCGCGAGTTGTTAAGTTGGGAGAAGAATGCCATAAGAATATTGAACTTCATTTGCTGTCGTCTATCGTCATCTTCGCGATGGTCTCCGTCCCCTCGCTCGAAATCCAACTTTGCAAACTCGCCTCCTTCTCAACCTTCCTCTCCTGCCTCGTCTTCAACCTCCAACTCTCCCCCTCCTTCTTCTCACCACCACCACCGGACGGCATCACCTTGGGCTTCGCAAGCAACTTTCTCGAAAACGGTATCCGCCAAATATGCGGCCCAACCTCGGTCCCCGTCACCCGATTCGTCTCAATCACGGTCCTCAACCTCTTGGCCGCCTCCCAATTCGACGTCACCGTCGTCAGCTTCGCCTTCCACCCGTACAAGAACGACGAGACGTTCATGGCGTTCAGACCGGACCCTTTCTTCCCGACGGCCAATGCGACGGCGGGGAGTTGGCCCTCGGCGACCATCCGCTGCGCATCGTCCCACGAGACAGAGTCCACGATCTGCACTGGGAGGCGTAGGTCTTCGGGGACAGGATAGACAGATAGTTCCTGGAGCAGCCTCACCCGCCGCGCTCTATCTTGATCACTTCCCTCTGTTTCAGCATCTTCACCCTTCTCAAATAAAATCCTCGTCCTCGCCTTCTCCTCCTCAGTCCCGATATCCCGCACAATCTTGAGAAACGTATCCGCCGCCTCTCGCGTACACACCAGCGTCCGGCCAGTGATAGCAGGATACAGCGTATTCACCAACCGCGGCCCATTCTCAACCTCATCCGTCGCGTCGATCCGGTGCTGCTTCGACCTCAACAGCTCCGAGTCCGGTCCAATCGCCATGTGACTGAAATCCGACGCCAACGCCATGAACACCGAACAATCCACATTCACTGTCGCCGTGAAATCCTTGTAATAATCCGCCTCCACGAGATTCGCAATCGCCTCCCCCAGCGGCGGCGTGGCCTCCGTCAAGATCCCGGGCCCATTCGCCGTCTCAACCACAAGATCCACGTCCCCGCCGCCCATCTTCCGCACCAACCTCAACAGATGATCCACAGCGTCATTCTCGCCCTCAGACACCCTCGACATGAGTATCCTTACCCTCGGCCGCCGATAATCCTGATACGACGTCCTCGCCGCGGCAACCATGTGCCTCGCGACCTTGGCGACCTCGATACTATCTTCCGTCTCGTCCCCCAAAATCTCCAACATGGCCTCGTCCGCGCCCTCGTCCTCGAAATCCTCCTCCCAATCCCACCCGGCGTCCGCCATCTCGTAGAACAGCCTCCGCTCCGTCGTCGTTACAACTTTGACCCAGTCCGCGCCGCCATTCACGACCAAATCAATCACGGCACTGACGCTCTTGCCCCCAACAGTCTTGTAGCTCAAGTCCCTCCTCATCCCCGTAAGCTCACAACACCTCTTCGTAACCTCCCACACCGTCTCGTAAAACTTGTAATTCGACGCATCGAGCCTCAGCCGGATCCGACTATCCAGCGCCTCGGTGTCAATTTCTTCCCTCTCACCACTATCACCCCCATCATCATCATACGCCGCCACCATCTTCTCAAGATGCTTCTTCTCAGAAACAATAAGCCGTTCAAAGAACCCGAGTCCCGGAACAGCTTGGTTCCACGCAACGGGCTTATGCCCCGACGCCGGCCGCCTCTCGATGGCAGCCTTGAGCTGCTCAAGTTCATCGAGCAGGACTGTAATGCGGTGGATGATGAATTGGCACTGCTGGAGCAGCGACGTCTCGGGATCCGGCTCGAATTGCGGAAAGATTGCCATGCTTTCTGCTCGGCGGCGGAGATGTAGATGGGCAGATTCCCGGTGCTGGCAGGCGTAAATGCAAATTTGATCCTGCGCGGGGTTAATGATTGTCTTTCAAGGACATGGAGTATGAGTTACCTTGGCACTCTTGAAAGAGAGTTTTCCTATGCCCACGTGTCAGCTCGTCAGGCCTTGCGCAGTTGGACAGTCAAAATTCGGTGAAAACTGACGTGTATGACTGATAGACAGACGTTGATACAATGGCACAGCGCCGGGCCCGTGAGCAGAACAGGCAGCCAAAGTGTGTGGGTCCACCGGTGGGGCTCCGACGCGGGGCCGAGGACCGGACCGCGAATGGAAGTCTGGGCATGGGACGGTGAAAAGGAACAGTTCTCTCACCAAGCATTCCACAATCGACAAGCAAGTTATCCATATGAGCTGTTGAATGGCGAGCAAGGCTTTGCGCCGAGGTCTTCGCATTGCATTAAAATTTTTCACTGGCGTCCAGCCAAGTCATGTTCATCAAGACGCATAAGCCGCCATCCAGTCCCATCATCCAATATGCCCTTCATCCACTGTGGACATGCAAGGCGAATCTCAGCGCCCATGATCCAATGCATCTCGGCGCTGTCTAATTAATGGCAGAAAAGGTATAATGTCTCGGTCCAATGCTTCCCTCTCAAACATAAACGACAGTCTAGAAAACGGTACCGTCGCTATCGATCAAAATTGGCGGTTCTTTTGTGTTGGGTCTGCTAAACTCTGCCATTTCACGACCTCCCTGGAAGATTGTATTAGCGACGTGGTTCGAGAATGTAATAGTTAGGGCGAGCTTACCTTCCAGCTTCCAGCTTCGAGTATTTGGGCCAGAGTCAATTGATTACCCTTCAGGTCGTTCTTCATGTGCTTGTTGACCTCTACGCAAAGTCTATCCAAGAAGCCGACCGTGACACCACGCCACTCGACTATCACGTCGTCGCTAGGCTCGAACATTGGTGCAACTTCAACTGGCTTGACGTTTGTCCTTCTGCAGTACTCGTCGTAGTGCTCGAGGCCTCTCTCAGAATCGTCTGCCTTTAGCGTAAGAACTCCCAAGTCGATGAACAAACCGCCGTTGCGGTACTCAGGCAGGCCGGTGAGCAGTTCAACGCCGGCAAAGTGGATGCGAAGTAGTGACTGCATAGGCTGCATCAGACTGTAGCAGAGCCACTGCGTAAGCTTGTGGAACGGCAGGATAGACTCCCATGCCGCGGTCGAGTTCTGAGCAGATGGCGGGAATGGTGAGAATTGTGAAGTCGTCGGACTTTGCGGGGGTTGCGGCATTGATTGGCAAGGCCAGGCATCGCCGAGAGATACGCCGTTAATCGAGGTGCGGGAAGCTGGCCAGATGGGCATGAGGCCGTTCATCAGGAGATTCCATAACGTAGGGAGAATCACAATGGGCATCGAAGAAGCTTGAGTCGAGGGATGCGATAGGAGGTAGTCTGAGGCGGGTCAGTTCAGTCCTGGCACCTCATTTCCATCGGACTCGGAGAGTTGTCAACTTACCAACCATGTGACCTGGTCGTCCGCTGTCGCCAAAGTATTCCCTCTTTTCGGTCAGGGCATTTGCTAGCCGTTGGAGCAATTGTGTCCTGCCTTCAATGCCTGCCATTTCGTTGCCCGGTTTCGACTGCAAGCCTGCAGCTACCCTCTCTACTGTCAGGTTGCGCAGTCCCTCCTTGTCAACCTGGAACTTGTTTCTGCTGTCGCTGGAGAAAAGGCCCTTGACGATTGTTAGTGAACGCACGAGTCCACCCGAATCGTTAAATAGACTTACGCCCTTGAACATCTCCAAGCTGGCTACGGCTATGCCCTCTGACCGGCGGTATATGCGTCCATTTTCGGTGCTCTTGTAACTCCACTTTGTGCCTGCGCCAGCGTCCAGCAGCACACTCACGAGGAAGAGGTCAATCATGCGACGACACTTTTCGCTGTTGTCGACATCTTCGGGGAATGTGGAAAGAAGCTGTGCAATGCGGTCACGACCGCCGACACAGAAGTGCTGGTGTCTTCCGTGGCCAGGAATCGAATTGTACGGGGCGTCGTAGTCTCTCTACAGGGGTTTGCAAGGTCAGTATACTGCTATTCGCTGACCCAAATAGCGTGTGGGTGGGCGGTTCCAGGGCACGCAAACACCTGCAGAAGCGCTCAAAGGCTGACTCGTACCTTGATGATCTGAGAGACGAACGTCACAACGTCTGGGAACTTGCGCATGTCCACATCAAAGTGCTTCAATTCATTGCGAATCGCCTTGTCCGTGACAATCTTGCTTCGTTCTCTAACGGCCCCCAAGCTCCTGAGGTATCCTGCCGGGTCAAGCTGCGGGTCAGGAGGACGCGGCAGGTCGATCTTGGGTATCGAGGTAGGCGAGAAGGGCGTCAAAGGCGTGCCGGGCGTCGTGCTCGTTCCCGAAGACCTGTTCATTGTAGTGCTGCGTGGCGGTGGTGATTTAATGCTGGAAGCACCAGAGGCGATGCTCACGTTTGACGTGTTGATCGATGGCTTGCCCGAGGCTTTGGGGGCCTTTTCCTTGCGAGAAAACAGGCCCATTTTGGCTGAATGGGTGACCGCTGGGTCGAGGGGCTCGTAAGATGGCGGTTGGTGGGGTTTCGCTGGAGGGGTTCAGGCGGTGCTGAATTGAACTGAACTCGGTTCAAGGCGAAGCTTCCGAGTGGCCAGCTGGTGGTTCGAACTTTGGCCAGCTACAAGCTGTGCTGTGGCGACACGGGCCTGTTGCGACGATCACCGTGGCCGGGGCTTGCTTCGCTTCCGGGTTCGTCAGGCGAGTGGACAGGCGTGTTGACCTTATTCGCTTCGCCAACGATGCTCATATGGCGAGAGAAAGATCGGAGGTGGACGACGTCGATTTGCAGCAGCAGCGGCGACAGCAGCAGTAGGAACAGCAGTAGGAACAGGGACAGAAGGGAGGGGAGACCGGAAGATGATAAGTCGAGGGTCTGCCACGCAAGTTTAATAGGGGGCGGTTTTCTGGACTTGCGGGGAACAATATCAGCAGTCTGCTTCTGGAGCCGTGAGCAGCTGGTTGCGCACGAAATGTCCAGGCCCTCTCTTGTGCTGGGGGGGGCTTGTCTTGTCGTGCTTGTCGGGGGGAGGGCTGCTCTGGGCTCAGGGACCGATTCCCTTATTGGTGTTAGAGTTCTGGCCGACGTCGATCTGGATCAGGGATACCCGCTGGAGCTAGACGAACTGCTTTTGGTCTGGTTAGCTAGAAAAATGTCGAGCCACCTTGAGCCATTCCCACTGCGCCCACGCCGGACACAGACAATGAAAAGACACGCAACAGCCGGAAAAATGGCACATGAAGAAAAAGAATTGGGGCTAACTCAGGTGGTATGGTGAAGGTAGGGGTATGCAGACAGTAGCAGTAGAAGCGTGTTGATGAGTAAAGGACAACATGTGGTCCGCAAAGTAGATAAGGCAAGGTGCTGCCGCGTCTCTTTGTACGCTTCCAATGTGTCTGTCCGTCTTGTAGAGTCCTCTATCCGTACATTCTGGGTCTGCCTCGGACTCTTGAAGTTCAGCATCGTGGGGCACACTGGCTCGCAACCTTGTTGTCGGCCACCTGGCACACCCCTGGTGGCCCCTCGCAGCGCTATGCAAGCAATGATCCGGGGCATTTGCCAGGAACGCAAAGCATAGACATTGGGTGCGAATTGCGGCTTTGCGGGAGGCGGGGAAACAACTGGAAGGAAGGTCTTAAACACTTACGGATACTTGGATCACTTCTGACGTGCTCTCTTCACTCTTCTTTTAGAAGATGTGGGTCAATAAAGCAGCAATTGATGGTCTCTAACAGGTGGTCTGTCGCAAAGGGTCTCGTCCTGTGTCTCGGTGGTGTAGCTGGCTACTGTGGCACGTAGAGAAGGAAGCACGCAGACCGTTGGGGCGGGAGAATGATGAGAGCAGCAGCAGCAGCAGCAGCAGCAGTAGTATATTGAGAATTGAAAGTGAACGTCGAGACGGAGTCGATATTGACGTTGGATGTCGAAGTCTCCGGGGACTGCGAAGCTGGATCTCGGACGGTGGGGTTGGTTTTGCGGAGAAAGATTTGGGAGCGGGAGCGAGGGCGATAAAAAGATATCCGTCCGTCGACCGGATCTGAGCTAGGCCAAGCGGGATCTCAGAGGCGTCCAATGTTTGCGGTAGTGGAAATGAAGATCAATATGCGGCCACTCTAGCAGGGAATGCAGGCGCGGCAGAGTTGCTTGACACCGCGGAACTTTCAGAAGCTGAGTGAGAGAAAAAGCAACCTCTTGGAGACAGCGCGGCCAGCAGCACAACGTCAATGGCCAACTGGGCTCGGGTAAGAGGCGAGCGGTATCAAGCTTGGCCTCTCGGAGGCTGACCGCCGTCTATATCGGACGAGGTGGTAGCGTACGTGTATGATGTTGAGACAATGCGACAGACGGGCCGAGGATGCTGCTGCTGTATTTAGACGTAATTAGATGACGACGTCTCTGATATAAGGAACACTCTGAAGAGCTGAAGAGGCTCCGCGCAGGGTGTATTGGGTTGACGATGGGGTAGGAAGAGAATGCCCAGGAAAGAGCATAGAAGACAAGAAGAGGTGCGAGTCAAGAGGGAAGGGCTCCTCCAGCAAAGTGCGCGGATGTATCTGTAGAGGGACAAGATGGATGAAGAAAGCTCTCTGGCACGCGGGTTGTCGATTCGAGACGATGCGCGGCCAGGCGAGGCCAGGAACGTGGGGACAGCGGTGGGTGTGTGAGGTGGGCGTGGATAGAGAGAGCTGCCGCGAAGCAAAGCAGAATACCTCAGGTACTCCGTACTCTGTATCCGCACTCAGTAGGCGAGTAATGTACGGAGTACCTAGGCTTGCGCCGTGGTCGTGCGGATACTTCACTCTACCTTACCTCAAAGCCGGGACAGAATGGGGCAGAAGTAGGAGCGGAATGACGGACGGGACAATTTGAAGACGGTTGATGGGATGGCAGACT